AGCTATCCTGATAAACGGTGACATGTTTCTGCCCTCTTCCTCTCTATTCCTGCGCCCTATCTTTCTTCTCCATTGACTTTCTTTCTAAAAAGTTATTATTTTTGTAAAATGATACCTACTCACAGAAAAATATTTGAACAATGCAGTAAGGAAAAAGGAAAAAAAGAACAAAGTGTGCAAAATTGAACCATTTAAGTGGCAACTACAGTTTACTCTTTGTAGCAGTGTGTGTGTGTGTGTGTGTGTGTGTGTGTAACTTCTAACACCTTTAGCAGGGTATGACACACTTGGGGTAAATCATCAGTGAACAGTAAATGGAGCACCCCTGTGCCCCCACTACCCAGCCGGGGCCCCTTCCAGCCATACCCACCCCCAGCCACGAGCACTGCAAACCCCTATGATCCTAAACACAAACCTTGTGACAACCACGTCCCTCTCTACTGGAATTGCAAAAACAGCCATATTCCACAACAAAACTGACTCTGCCCAGGGCCCACGGGCTCCCACGTGCTGGCCCACAGCCTGGCTGCCCGTTGGAACCACCTGGGCAGCTTTATAACTAACTGCAGAGCCAGTGAGGTTGATTTAATTGGTCCAGGTGGGACATCAGTGTGTATATATTTTTTATCTCTCCAGGTATCCTAATGTACCACCAAGAGGAGGACCTCTGCTATAGGACAATTCTCCACCACACGAACGCACTGCCAATAGGACTCCGGAAGACTCTGTCACAACCTACTCGACCCCACCATGACCTTTGTAAGACCAGGCGGAGGGTGTCATGCACTTACCGCCAGGAAGGAAACGGGGTTGCAGAGAGGTCGCGGTTCTGTGCCCCGATGCAAGATGGTGACAGGAGGTGCTCACGCTGATCTTCTCAGCCATGGGCCGGGTCAGGAGCTCTGGCCAGGTTCTCATGGGGCAGAGGCAGCCCCAGCCGGAGGAACTGCTCCCCGTGCCCCCTCACCCCAAATCATTGATGGTGGGGTGGGGCTCGGCTGGCAGGTCACGTCCAGGGGGTGTCCAGCTTCTTAGGATTCACATGTAGGAATCCCAGCGGGCCCAGAGACAGCATGCACAGTCGCAGACTCACTCTGAACAGGCAGGACACTGGGCCAGAAACCTCGTCTCCTCTGGTGAGGAGACGCAGGTGGAAAGGGCCCAGGTACTTGTATCACTTAATTTAAAATGTTCTTATTATTAAAAATGTAAAAGATACCAAAAAGTAAACAGAATGAAATATAGAACCTTTCCAATAATTAAGATGTTAAAAATGAAGGCTTTAAAAAAAAAAGTCTGAGAAGGATATTTCTAAATCATTAGCAGCTGAAATTAAGGATGGCACATCCTTGCAGGTGGGCATTGAGGCAACAGACACTTCTCTCCATACAGGATGAGGCAGAGGTCTGAACCGGGGCCAAGGGGACATGCTCAGTATCACACGGGGTGGCCCCAACCTCTCAAGCCCTTCATCTTGGGCTCGTACGCAGCCATGGGAAGTCTTTACAAATCCAGTGACCCTAGGTATCCTCAGGTTTCCCATCTTTACCATCTAAGCCAGCGGTTCTCAACCTTCCTAATGCCGTGACCCCTTAATACAGTTCCTCATGTTGTGGTGACCCCCAACCATCAAATTATTTTCGTTGCTACTCTGTAACAGTAATTTTGCTACTGTTATGAATCATAATGTAAATATCTTTTTGTTTTCTGATGGTCTTAGGTGACCCCTGTGAAAGGGTTGTTCGACCCCCAAAGGCACCGCGACCCACAGGTTGAGAACCACTGATCTAAGCATTTCTAAAAGCCACTGTCTGTTAATTTCTGCATGGCTCACTTGCTATTTCAGAATGATTTCTATTTGTTGATTTTTGGTGTACGACTAGGAACATAAGGAAGGCAAAAAAAAAAAGGAGGGGGGCTTTTGTAAGGAAACAACAACGTATGTAAAAGGACGAATTTCTATGATCTCCCTGAGTTTTTCTAAAGGTTTCCCTCAGCCACTTGATTATTTCCCAGTGCAAAGCGTAGTCAAATTCCTGCTACAATTGTTTTCAAGGAACTATTTTTATAGTTGGAGAAGAAATTAAACAATGCATTTTAGCTCCACTATGGACACAGAGCGGAAGCTTCAAATTTGTAGGATTTCAGGCTGTCGGTACAAATCAGGAAGGGGCTTCAAGGGAGAGAAAGTGAGAATAAAAAATGATGAACAGAAAGCAGGCTAGAGGCCAGGGGAGAGAACGGGAGGCCTCCTGCAAGGGAACCCCAAAAGAACACATTCTCTGGGGTGTGATCACCCACAGGAGCCAGCCAGCAGTCATGAGGATGGAATCCTTGATGGTACAGTGTGTGTGTGTGTGTGTGTGTGTGTGTGTGTGTGTGTGT